CACCAACTGATTATTGGTCCACTGACGAATATACTGCCCTCTGGTAACGAGCTCATGGACTAAATTAGTTGTAACTATGGTATCGTTACCACTAATTTTAGTATAGTATTGCTATAGTATTGTTTAGTTGATGAAGGCTTTCATATATATAGTCAGTTGTATTCATGATTGCAATGCCACGACCTTTGTCAAATGGTTTTATTACAATTGTGTTATCATAATGTAGTCTATTTATTGCTGCTCATTCGGCAGAATTCATGTTTTGTTTGGGTTTATTGGTAGTAATTTTGGATATCTCAACTTTGGTTGCCTCAATGTAATTTTCGAGGCTACTGTTATGTGAGTCTGGTGGGTTCCATGTTGATTTCATTTTGAAAGGATGTTGTTGAGATTGTTTATTGCGCATTAAATATTTGATACGCATTCTCCTAGATAGCATAGACATGTCTCTGAGCAAAGTGTGATAAATAAAATTTGAGACCAACTGAGCTTGATCAGCCAACCGTTTATTTTTAGCCAGTTTTGCATTGTATTTTTTTATTCGTTTGCGTTTTGTGTTATAGATTGTATGGACAGAGTCCATAGTAATGATGGTAGTTCTCTTTTGGGAGGATGTGGTGGCCCTGAAAAAGGGACATTTGATTTGTGTGTTGAAGCACTGGTTTATTTAAGGCTAGTAGTGCGTTTCCTGCCATTTCGGGTGTCCTGCACTCTTTTCCCCGATTGTTTGAGGAATTGCCTTAGTTTTCAACAGCCAGAGCCTGATGTTCTTCTCCAGCCAGGCTTTTGATATCTGCAAACGCTTTCTTCTCCTCCTTTACCAGAATGGTCTGGAATTTTTTCAGGTGGGTAAATGTCAAGTAGTTTAGTGTACTGTTTAGAAGCCTGGTTTGGAAGATCGTGGTTTGGAAGAGAGAAGACATCACGGAGGTGGACTGATAGTAAAACCCTGTCATGATGTTAAAGGGAGGATATTATACAAGTCATGTACTTTACTTAAAATACTGAGAAAAAAAATAAAAACAACTGTTGAGTGCAAAAAAAAAAAGATTAGAGACAAGGTCTGCTGAAAAAAAAATTCCATATTAGATAGGGGGAAAAAAGTAGGCAGAAGACATTTACCACTTTCTTTATCTCTGTAGGTCATCCAATCATATAAGAAAGGAATTTTATTTAGCATTAGAAACCTCACAGAGAAACAATGTTGAATCTTCATCACTAATGAATAGTTTTCTTTCAGGGGGGTTGAATTATAGGTTCAATTTCCTTTTTGGTGATACACTATGGAACATAAATGAGAATGTGGGAAATACCTCATCAGCTTTAATTAGGAAATATGTAACTGATTTATGGCAATATAGAAAAGAAATTATGAATGTAATTTAAATATACGTATTACTGTTTTCATGGTGCCGATACAAAGGTTGAATAAACATTATTATTATTATTATTATTATTATTCAATCTTCCTGCCCCCCAGGATATCAAATGGTCCGTCCCTTACTTCCTTCTCGCGAATCCTTCGGTCGCTCTCTCGCATCCGAACCTTGACTTTGGGTGGATAGTGGTCAGGAGTATGCTCTGAATTGACAAGGTTGGCTGTTGGAGTTGTTGTTGTGGTCTCATCGTCTTCGTGACCATGTACGACGTCGACGTTTTCATGGGATTCGTGTTCTTCGTGTTCTCATGGGATTCGTGTTCTTTCGTTTTGTTCTTTTGAGTTCGGCGGTGGCTATTGTTTAGCCTGTCACTGTCCGATCTGAATTCCGATTTAACTTCGATTAGTTTTATCTCAAATCCATTTTTAATTTCCATGGCAAATTTATTTAGATTGACTGTCACCGAACGATGCTTCAGAGAAGTCCACTTTATGAATATTAATGAATATTTTGTTAGCCTTTGGAACAGGGTAAGTCAACAACAACCAAACTATAAAAGCATTTATACATGTAAATCGTTCCGTTTATAATAATAATAATAATAATAATAATAATAATAATAATAATAATAATAATAATAATAATAATAATATTTTATTAGCCTTTGAAACGGCGTAAAAAGCAACATACAAGTCAACAACAACAAGAAAAAGAAAAGAAAAACAATCCATAAGAAGCATTAATTCATACATGTAAATCATTCAGTTTCTCGTTTCTGAATTTCCATAGGTGGGTGAGAAAGTGTCGGATTTCTTTTGATGTATTATTTCCCAAATCCTTATTGATTGCTCATAAAGCATCACTGACGAGAAAATTGAATTTGAAATTAATTCAAATTAGCTTCTCATTTCAGAATTTCCATGGACAGGTGAGAAAAGATAAACATTTGTTTTGATCTATTATTTAAGCAATAACCCCCGCCGAAGGCGGGTATACCACGAGATATTGCACAATTCACGACATATATGCACGAGCCGCAGCGAGTGCATATATGGAGTGAATTGTGCAATATCAAGTGGTATACCCAACTTCGGCGGGGG